TAAATTCCAGATGCCAGTGAATGAAACTTGATACTAAAACTACAACCATGTTATCATTTGAGACTTTCTTCCTTAGGAATGACATCATAAATAGTAATTGTTCAATTATCAATGAGAAATTTTGATGCAGCAAAATGCTCTTCATTAGACCCTAAACATTTTTTTTTCCTTAAGGGACTTATTTACTATGTACAGAAAGTATTATATTTAAAATACTTTGTACTATATCCAATAATCATACCCTTCAAAATCATTGAATCTTTCTTCTGAGTTGAAATATTAATTTTCCTAATTTGGTGTTATTATTGCAACTAACATTTACCTGAGTGTTTACTATGCACTATGTAGTTCAAGGTCTTTTTATATATTAATCTTATTTAATTTCTATAAAATATTTGTGTGTGTGTGTGTTGCTGGGGATTGAACACAGGCCTTGTGCATGCAAAGCAAGCACTCTACCAACTGAGCTATATCCCTAGCCCCTCTATAAAATCTTTATAAATAGGAACTAATATCTCCATTTAATGGAAATTTATTGTTTTACATATTGACTATATTTGGCATATCTGTTTTACTCAGTGTTTTCATAGATTACATAACAATGAAGTATGTCTATAATTTATAAGTTAAAGTGAAAATTCAGAGGTTTTGCTTCTCAGTTATTTATTCAACAATGTTGGTAAAAGATTTAATATTTTGGCATCTAGACATTATATTTTTTTATTAATTTCTCCTCTTAACATCAGGTTCTCAATGATCTTATTTCCCCTGATGTTCAGTTTTGAAGTCAGTCTAAACTACATCATGATACATGCATAATAAGTTGGGTAAATAATGTTCTAGTTCTCAAGTGACTTTCACTTGTTTACATCTCAGACTTTTTAAAAAATTAAAAGCACATATATTTTTTCTTAAAATACATAGGAGTAGAATTTTATGTGTTTGGATTCTCTCATAAATATTATGGATTCTCTCTGAAGCCTGCTCTTGTCCAGAAACTCTCTCTTGTTCTGTTTCTCATAACTAGATCTCATTGCAGGGCATAGTCAAAATCCCTAGGGACAAGGATGACACTGGATAAGTTCTCAAGTTCTGGGTATGCTATACACAATCTCATACTCTTCTGTAGTCATTTCCTGATGTAAAACATGATGTTTTTACATGGAGCAGGATAGATTGTGAAGAATTAGACTTTTGGGGATTGATACAAGAGTCATTAGATGCTTACTCCTCTTCCTCACATCCCTTCACTTGATTCAGATTGTTATTTCCATATCTTCTATCAACTTAGTACCTTTCTTTGGTATTAAAGTGTTGAAATTTTCACCATCATTCTTTAGTACATAGTTTGAATCACTTTTTAATACTAGAAGTTCGTATTCTTAATTCCTCAAAGATCAGTGATCCTACATACTGTCCAGTTTTGAAGGAGGTTTTAGTGCTAGAAAAATGTAGTGTGTGTTTACACATTAGTACTGTTATGGTTTAGACGTGAGGTAACCCCAAAAGCTCATGTGTGAAACAGTGCAAGGGGTATGAGAGCCTTAAACCAATCAGTGTGTTTATCCCATGATAGGGATTAACTGAGTGGTGACTCTAGGTAGGTAGGGTGTGGCTAGAGAAGGTGGGTCCCTGGAGGGGTGTGTACCTTTGGGGTATATATTTTGTCCTATTTGAGCAGAACTCACTCTCTACTCCCTGATGTCATGTTGCCAGCTGCTTTCTCTGACACACTCTTCTGCTGTGGTGTTCTGCCTACCCTAAGCCCTGAGGAATGATTTGGCCTTCTATGGACTGAGACCTCTGAAACTGTGAGCCCCCAAATAAATTTTTCCTCTACTAATTATTCTTTGTCAGGTATTTTAGTTGCTGTGGCAAAAAAGGTGACTAAAGAAGTACCATGAAATACGCTTTTTGGAGTGGTTACTAGACTTGGCTGTTTTGAGAAAATATCTTACAGTATACATTATATAAAATTGCTTTCATCTTTCAAATGAAATACTGCTTTAAAAGATTTTAGATGTTTAAGGTTCTATATCTTAAGCAAATAACTAAACAATATTAGAATTTTGTTATTAAAAGTAGAACAAGAAAGGAGCCAAAATAATTACCACTATCGTTCTGCCCACCAAATGGCACTTCTGAGGTTATTTCTTTTTTTTTAGATTAATGAACCTTTATTTTATTCATTTACTTATATGCAGAGCTGAGAATTGAACCCCGTGCCTCACACATAATATTGCTAGTAGGCAAGCGCTGTACCACTGAACCACAGCCTCAGCCCCTGATGTTATTTCTTAAAAAAACTATTTCTTGAAAGAGTTCTGAAGGAATATTGTATTATTTTTTCCTTTTAGAATATCATGTACATAAGAATTCAGGAGGGGCTGGGGATGTGGCTCAAGCGGTAGCGCGCTCGCTTGGCATGCGTGCGGCCGGGGTTCGATCCTCAGCACCACATACAAAGATGTTGTGTCCGCCGAGAACTAAAAAATAAATATTAAAAAAAAAGAATTCAGGAGATGTGTTCCTATAAACTTAGGAAATGGATAACTTTTAAAATATTACACTGTTTTAAACTAAAATATTAAATGCCAATTCTCGCATCACTTAAAGTGAAATAGTGATCCAGAGCTTATCACTGATAGGAGGGTACTTCCTGATTTTCATTGAATAAGCATTTATGCATACTTTCAGCCACTTATAGATATTATGTACTTATGCAACAAGAGCATACACAATATGAGAATCACCTATCATAGATTGTCTTATTAAGATTTTACTGGAGAATTAAAAATATAATAATCAATAAAATGCAATAATCACTTTTATAGGGCTTTCTTGGAGGCAATATAATTGAAGGGTTAAAAGAAAGTATGTGTGTGTATATATGTATGTATGTATGTATGTATTTATATTTATTTTGAATCCTGACCAACATGTAACTAATTGTGATCTTGGATAATCTCCTTTGTTTTACTCTGAAGAACTAGGTTAAAAAATATCTACTCTAATTACTGGACTGCAGTAATAGTTCTTTTGAATCTAACAAACATTGACTATTTTAATTATTTGAGCCTTACAAGAGTTTTGGAAATTGGTAAGAAAATGACCTTTCTTCTTATTTTATATGTTGAGGGAGGAGATAGAGGCTCAGAGGGATTGTTTGGCAACACAGACCTATGAATGTGGCAGAGTGAAGACCAGAAAATTAAAAAAAAAAATCAGGCTTGTATTCCTGATCCAGTATCTCAATAGAGAAGATAGATGAATTTGTAAGAATGGAGAGAGAGGTGATGTAGGAAGAAGCAGATGTGATTGGATAGTTTTTGATTTTTACATACTTTTGAGACCCAAGGAAGTACTTTGTTAATATTAGCTATAAACCTAACCTTGAAGTGATTCTAAGTAGAGTAGATTAGGATATGTGAGATGCCCTAAACATGAGGTCATATTGTGCTTATTTAGTGTTGGGCAGTAAAATTCACATTCGTGGACTTTTATGCCCTTAGTCTGCTTTTCTTTCAACTTGAACAAAGTTACGGTTAATAATTATTCATTAGATTGAGCATTAAGATTATGCTCAGTTACATTCATCCTTTTCCACAGGTATTTTAGGCCAATATGTGGCTTGCAGTTTTTCATCTTTTCTAATTTTTCATTCATTCATTCATTCTTCAAAACATTCATCAGTCTAGGCATTTATTCAAACAAGCACTCACTGTCAGCCACTCTTATCCCTGAGGATATAGACATTTGTAGTCACAGTATACAGATCTTAAGGAGCTCTTCAGCCTGGTAAAGAAGTTTGCATGAGTTTGCATGTAAACTAATAAATTTCTGCCAGAGCAATAAATGCAATTGTAAAAGCAAGCATGAAGGACCCACAGAGAACCTGAAGAGAAATTAACTCCGCTTATTGGGGGGGCTCTGAAGAGGGTTCTTGAAAAAGATGGTGTCTTTAGCTGGAATTTTTAAGGCAAATAGGAATTTATTAGGTAAAAAGGTCTGAATTTTTAAAAAATTATTATCTGCAAGTAGCTAACCTACTTTTGTTTCTCAGACATTTTATATACTATTTCTATTTGTTCTCATGCATTCAAAATTGCTCAATATCTATAGTTTGTCAAAACTTTCCCAATTCAAATCTTCAGATTGAAAGTAATTTGCAAGTTCTATTGTAAAAATTGTGATACGAGTAGGAACATATTTTTATTATAAATAATATCACTTTGAAATTGTCTTTGAAATGTTTGACTTCATTTTGATGTATAAGGTATTTTGAAATATGTTTTTAAAAAAGCATAATAGTATCCCTTGGACTTAAAAAATTATTGCAGGTTGCTTTAGAAGGATGATACAGAGGTTCACCAATCCCCCCAATATTGCATGACTTAGGGGAAATAATAAGTTACCAGCATTTGCTTATATATATTTTATTGTATATAGCATAATGTGAAGATATTTCTGTGTTCTGTGAGTGAATATAATTATGCCTTTCCTTCAGTATAGGAGTCACATTATTTACTCTTTTAAAAAGTCATAGGATTATTCTAATTCTTTTTGTTCAAAATTTTTACTTTGTAGGTGTATTGAAAGTTTTACTAACTCAGCTCATTTTGAAATGTCTTGTTTGTATATCCATGTATTGTGTCTTTTTTAAGATTGAAATTTAGGTCAAATTACAAGTGAATTTAACTTTACTACAGAAAATAAGTGTGCCACCTTTTAAAACTGCATTCTAAATTTTAAGTACAATAGATCAAAGTACATCTTATTTAAATAAATACTCTGGAATGAAGTCTCAATTATTTTCTCCCAAACTTTCTTAAATAGTCACTGTTTTCAACTTAAAATGTGAGGTTTATCTTTATTATTTTCAAGAAAGATGAAAAGTTGTTTATTTTAAAATTTTAATGATTTTTCTTTCAAATTATGGAAATTATCCTTTGGGGACAGCTTTATTTGAATTATATGTGACATTATTTTTATTTCTTAAGGCTATGATTAAAAGTTTCATGGATGTCTACCAGCTTGCAAGCTCTAGAATCATTACATTAGAGAAGGAAATGACATCTCATCGAAGTCACATTGCAACCTTGAAATCAGAGCTTCACACAGCTTGTTTACGTGAAAATGAAAATTTACAAACAGTAAGTTCTTGTATAATAATATTTTTCTCTTCTTTGGATATTGGATCACATTTGCATTTATCTTTTTATTGCTTAGAAGATCACTTGCTAATATGTATAATTTAGGTTAAATGATCGATCAAGCAACATAAAATTAGTGTAGAGAAAAATTTGAGGGAAGAAAAGCAATTAATTTTCCCATTGTATCGTGTTTAAAGATATGCATATTGTTATCAATGCTAAAACACTACATCAAGATTCCTTTGTGTTTGCCAGTACAGCTGACAGTTGGATTTGGCAGTATGCATAGTTAAAGCATGCAACTGTCTGAAGATTCAGTGTGTCCCATTAAGACAGAATATTATTAATTATGCGTATAACCAAAATGGTAATTAGAACATGTGATTATTCTCTGTAGAAAACTAGACTTATCCATAATACATGCCTAGCTAAAGATGCATGTTGTGATTCATCTATATGATTAAAATTCAGTTTCAGTACTCATTTTATGTCTTAAAATTTTAGTCCATGATGAAATTTGGACTCATTTAAGATTAAAAAAAATTTCTACATTTGAAATACGTGTTTGGGGAGTTTTTAAAAAATGAATACATTTGTAACATAAAGGAATGAAATAAACATTTAAACTTTTTTTCTCAAAAGGCAGACATGTCAACCGTGAGATTCAGAGGGTTACCAATAATTAGAATGTCTCTTTTCCTTTTTAGGTTTGATTACAGTGGCTCAGGGTGACTTGTAAGAAAAACAGTTATCATTTTGCCATTTAACTGTTGACCTATTTCAAATAACATTCAAGAGAATAGGGTTGACCTCGCTAATTCCAAATAGATGTATAGCTTTGGTTTGATTCTTCACCTACAGCAAGTCTTAACTCAAATGTCAGCATCCCAAGGAAGCCTTTGTGATCAGGAATTTTAAAATCACAGCCACCAGCCCTCCTCTCAATTGCCTCACAAACTTTCTGTCTCTGTCTCTCTTTTTCCCTGTGATGCCCATCTACCCTCCATATTTTATTTATTTGCTTATTATCTGTTTGTTTCCTATCCTCATTAGAAAACAAGATAAGTTCCATAAAGACAAGTAGTCGTGGGTGTTTTCTTCACTGGTGTTAAGGAGTATCAGTGCCAAAAGCAATCTGGCCCATATTTCAACAAATATATAAACACATATTTATTGAATTAAAAATACTAATAATTTTCTAATAAGTGTAAAAAAAGACAGTTACTTGGGACCTGAGATGTGTGTTCCACTTTTAAATAACTTTATTAATTTCCCAATGAGAGACCAGTAAATTTGAAGTCCACCAAGAAAAATTAAAATAACGAAGAAACTAAAAAACTTGAGTGTTTGAATTTATTCTAGCTTCTCTCTGAAATATTGCACATTTATTCCTGCTATTTCTTTGGTCCCATTGGTTAACATTATGTTCTACTGTTTAGATTTTGTCAGCTTTGTTGAGTTGTTCTATTGTTCATTGCTTGTTACTATTATTCATATAAAAATTACTTGTATTTCAAGAAAGGCAAAACTTGACAGAAATTGTTTCTCCATCAGTTTAAATTATTTTCTTTACCTGTAATTATGCTACTGTAGTCATGAAAAAGTGTTTAATATACCTCACTATCATAACAAAATTCTACTTTTCAATCATTTTTCCATTCTGAATAAGTCTGTAGGATTTGCTCATTATCTTATTTGTAAGAGGTTGTCCATACTGGCAGTTATTCTCAAGAGAGGCCACCTGTGATGTGAAAAAAATCCCCACCAGGAGGTTCTAAGGTATCCTCCTAGGAGAACGCTGCCCAATCTACAGGATATGTGCTCTCTTGTCTCCTCCCTTAGCTGAGAATCACTATTTCTAAAGCAATAATAAATTTGTATGATAATTTTTATTTTTCAAGACATTTGTATATGTATTTTCTGACTTGAATGTCTTAAGAACTCTCTAAGGAAGAAGATCAGGCCTTGCTCTGAATTTCATAGATGAGAGGCAGTATTGTTTGTGTAAGAGCATGGGCTGTGGGGTTGCATCCACTAGGAATACTCTCACGCATAAACCATTGAAAACTAACACGACTTTAAAAAGTGGAGAATTTTTTTCTCACATAGCAAGAAGTCTAGAAGTTGTAGGTGGCTGTTTTCATTAGTTTAGTGGCTCCATTTTTTAATGTAATTTCTCTGCCACTCCAGCTCTAGGTTTTTAGTAAAATTCAAATCAGAATAATGGAACGGTGTAGCAATATATGATACATAAATACTTTCAGCATATTCATATATCTGCCTTTTAAAAACATATACTTTACCTTTTAAAAATAATTTTTTTCATGTATTTAAAGATTTATCTACTTATAAAGGAGAGAAGAACTTCTAAGGAAGCTCCAAGTATATTTCTATTTATATTCTATTAGTTTCAAAAAGATCATGTAGTTACCTGTAGCTATAAAGAATCAAGGGACAGGGAGTTAGGAAGGAGTGAATATTAGGTTAACTCACTTATAGTGTGTGCTATACAAGTTACATAGGTTTGAATTCAGATTTCAGTTCTGTCAGTTGCTAACCACGTGGCCTAGATTCTCAGGGTTTTCATCTGTAAAATGGGCACAGTGATACTGCTACCTAACAGAGATGTTGGGAGAATTAATGAAAAATGTTGAAGTGCTTAGGACTTTCACCTTGCTTTTAGTGAGTAGTCCAAGAAAAAAAAAGCCAACTCTTATTTTAATCACCATTATCATCCTAGAAAGTAATTTTTTGCATCATCACCCTGGGAAAAGATTATTTATAAGCGAACACTTTCCGTGGCAAGCTTTGTTGTTTTGTTCTGCTTTCTCCTGTAGCCTTCAGCATGTAACTCCTCTACTTGGTTACATAAGTATATTCCAATGACTGAACTACCTTCTCTTTTTAAAAAAATTTGTTCTAATTAGTTATATCTGACAGAAGAATGCATTTTGACACATTGTACACAAATGGAGCACAACTTCTCATTGCTCTGGTTTTACCTGATGCAGAGGCACACTGGATGTGCAATCATGCATGTATATAGGGTAATAATGTCTGTCTCAATCCACCATTCATCCCACCCCATACCCCTCCCTTCCCCTCACTCTTCTCTGCCCAATCCAAAGTTCCTTCATTCTTCCCTAACCGCTACCACCACCCCCATTATGATCAGCATCTGCTTATCAGAGAAAACATTCAGCCTTTGGTTTTTGAGGTTTGGCTTATTTCACTTAGCTAGATAGTCTCCCACTCAATCCATTTACTTGCAAATGCCTCTCTTTTAATCCTGAGTAATATTCCATTGTGTATATGTACCACAGTTTCTTTATCCATTCATCTATTGAAGGGCATCTAGGTTGCTTCCACAGTTTAGCTATTGGGCCTATTTTTATGTGACCCATTTTCTTCTGCTTTTATTAACATGTTATTAAAAAGTACTTGCTGCTTCTATATGCTTGCCTTACATTTACTCCTGTGCTTTACTTCCATATGGTCTTGAGTCTTTTTGCTGAAATTATTTTCTCAAAGGTTACCAAAATTTTATGCTTGCTCTATGCATTAGTTCCTTCTCATCCCTTTCAACCTCTGCAACATAGGAAGCTTTTAGCTGCATCCTCTTTAAATACTTATCTCTTTTGTTTCATTTGTTATCTACTTTCCCTTTTTTGACTTCCAGACTTCTGCTGACTTGTACACTGTCTTCTTTGTGTTTGGTTTAATTCTTTATCCATTAATTCAGAATTTATTGAGCATCTACTCTATGGTGGGCACAATTCTAGTCTAGGGGACAGTATGTGAACCAAAACAGAAAATCTTTGTTCTCATTCACGTTACTTAAAATAATGTAGTGGAAGTAACAATTTTTTATATAATCACACTAATTAATCTATAATCACTAACCAAGATCATGTATTGAAAGGAAAGAGCTTAGATGGATAAGGTTTTTTTTTGTTTGTTTTTATGTTTTTAAATGAAGGAGCTAAAATATGAGTAAAAACCTTTTTAGGGTCAGTGATGCTTGGGCTAATATCTGAAAATTAGGTAAGAATTAGGCAAGAGTGGAAGAGAATAGGATCCAGGTGAGAGAAGTGACAACATCTACAAAGACTGTGGTGGAAAGAAGAAACTAAGAAAGACTAGTGTGGCTGGAAGAAAGATAACAAAGGCTAGAGAGGCTTGCAAAAAGAATGGTTTGGAGAAAAAGAAAGAGACCAGATTGTTTCTTTGTCCTGTGAACAGGGGAAAATTCATTGAAAAATTTTAAAGGAGGAATGTGGTCAGCTTTGGATTTTAATATAAAGAATACTTTGGCAGCAGTGTGGTGAACCACTTAGATGTTGAAGAACAAGGGAAAAGGTGTGTCAGTGACAGTTGCTAAGGTTTTGCTTTTTAAAATTGATTCGTGATTGCATTTACTGAGAAAGAGACAGATCAGGAGAGGGGATATTGATGAAAGTAGTTTAAGTATGTTGAATTTGAGGCATGTATGAAACATGAAGCTGGAGATACAGAATCCAAGGCGAAGGCATGAAGTATAAATTTTAAGTCATCCTCATAGAGAAAGGACTTGAAACTGTTAGTGGGAGTGAGCTACAGATGAAGAGTTTATAGGGTAAGAAGAGAAAACAACCCGACAGCAAAGCTTGAAAAATTCCAACATATAATGCTAAATAAAAGAGGGTAAGATAGCAGTGAGAGAAATGGCAAAGAGTAAGAGGAAAACCAAAAGCATGCTATCATAAGAATAAAGTACTTCAAGAAAAATTACAAGTTAGTAGTGTTGGATGTTCTGAAGGACAAATGAAATGAAGATTGAAAATGGCCTTCATATTTAATGTATGGAGGCCATTTGTGACCTTAGCAAAACCTTTTCAACAAGATGTTGATAAATAAGTAGAAATTCACCAAGGGGGGAAAATGCATTTAAATTACTTATGTAAAGTGTGAAACATAGAAGGTGGGATGGTCCAAGGATTCAGGCAGTTCTGTTTTGAGAT